GGTCATTGTCCTCATAGCGCCACCAACAGACCCGAGCACCTCCTGGATGATGTTTGAAGCATATTTGGCACTCAGGAAAATCATGGTGCTGCTCACGCGCCTGCTGTTGCTGTTGCTGCTGTCGAGGGCGCCCTCTGAAGCTGCTGCCTCCATTGGAAGATGAGGGCTGGCGATCGCCGCGGTCACCGCGGTCACCACGGCCACGCCCCCTTCCTCCTCGCCCGCGGGATCTACCGCGAGACTGTCCACGGCCCCTGTAGACCACATTAGCAGATGAGTGGAATCCGCCTGAAGCTGAGTCACCTAGCATCTCCATCCTTTGATCATAGGCAGAGATCTGGGCAAAGAGATCATCGGCGGTGATGGTGTTCTTGACAGCGCCGATCGCCGCCACCACGGAGTCGTAGTCGCGGTCTAGTCCGGCCAAGATGTAGTCCACCATCTCCGGATCAGAGACGGGACGACCAACAGCAGCTAGTTCATCGCCGAGGCTCTTCATCTTCGCCATATACGCCGAGCTTGACATGCTGCCCTTCTTGGTGTTGGTGATGGCGATTCTCAGATTAGTGATCCGAGATTGCGATTGTGAGGCGAAGAGATTTGTCACCGTCGTCCAGAGTTCAAAGGTGGAGTCCTTCCCGACGACCTGCGCAAGGATCTCTGGCGACATGGAGTTCAGAAGATAAGACAGGACCTGCTGGTCTTTGGCGATCCAGGGCCCATACAGGGGATTCGGCTCTAGGGCCGTGGTCTTGTCCGCCTTTGTGATCTCCACCATCTTGGGCGGAGCGGCGTCTGTGTTGTCGAGGAGTCCAGTCACCTGCGCACCTCACAGGGCTGGGAGCACTTGAGTCTTCCAGAGGATGAAGTTTCCTCTTGCGAGCTTCTCCGATGGCGGTGAACCGAGGTTGAGGGCGACGCCAGCAGAGGAAGCCATGGAGACGATGGTATATGGTTTCTAGGGTTTTGGTTTGTGGCTAGATGTATGAAAAGAGGTGGCTCTGATGACCATGTAAGATATTGTGCGATCTCCCTACTCCCTCGATGGGGAGAGGCTTCGTATATATTGGCTATCGGCAGAAGCCTGCCTTGGCGTACAAGAAGGTACAAGAGTTTGGGGAGGATACGGAGAGAAGGTTGGTTGGGATTACATATTTCTAACACGACGCAGCATATTTACCGAGCTTGGTGACGATTTGTTTCCTGACGGCACCCACAATCACCGCCCCGAGCACGCTCATGGCTCCCCAGCAAAGCTATTGCTCTCTTCAATGAGAATATTACTGGGTTTGTGAAATGTAAGAGTGCAGCGAGGTGGCATAGGGAGACAGTCTTGACTAGACACATACGGGATGTGATTTTTGTTTTTCCCCTTGGTTTTGCGAGTTTTGTGTTTTAGTGTAGGGTAGGTGGGCAAGACAGATCCTTCAACCAATAGCCTCCAGCGGTAGGTAACCACGCGGAACAAGTACAGATAAACCTCAAGGAATTAAGAAGCAGAGAGTTGCTTGAGCCCATCCAACCAGGAAAGAAGGTGCTCTGTCTTAGCTAGCTCTAATTTTTTTTCAGCAAGTGGCAGATTTGATTAAGCCAGAAAACTTGCTAGCTTGCAGTATTGTATTTGGTTAGCTACAACTAGTACTATGTCTCATCTGGCCGGCGGCAATCAGACCCAGATACCAACTCATTTTTCTTTTGGTGCCATGCTTGACAAATATACTAATAATGTGATGACAAATAGTTCGATTTCTTCACCCCTGAGCTAAAAGCCTGAAACTGTAATAATCAAAAGCCAACACAACCCGTGTATTAACAAACACTGACAGCGAAAGGCGTGGCTGCTTGAAGGCTGACTCAAGTTGCAAGGGGATGGGATATATTCAGAACAGACGTGTTTGTAAATTGGTTAAGAGTGCAGCATCACTCCTTCGTTCAAGGAAAAAGATTAAAATATGGTTGGGCGACTCCAAATATCAAAAAATGGTTGGGCTATCTGTCGGCTGCTAGCTGGCTCAAGTTACACCCAACAACATTGGCATCATCTTTTTTTTTTTTGAAACGAGGCAAAAGACTTGCCATTTTCATTGATTAAGAAAAAGAGAATTGCCCGGTTAATTGACGGAAAACCGGGCTAAAACCGATACAAGCCAACCCATATGACATGGGCACCACCAGCCAACCTGGCCACCGACATGAAACACGAAACTGCAAAGAAGAAAGACATCCGTCGAGGAGTCACAAGCGTCATCGTCATATTGGTTGCCTCGAACGGGCGACTCTGACTTCATCATAGAGCTTCATCATCGAAGCCAACTCGCAAACAGCCGCAGGAGCCACGACGGCACATGCCAATAGATGGCCACATGCGCAAGCAACCGACAGCTCCGACTTTGACGATGAGCATCGCAAGGGAAATATGCAGGACTTACACCGACCGTGTCCTCCGCAAACGACCACCGAGTGCCTGTCATCGTCACCACCTAGACTCGCTCCACCGTAGCTCCGACTTCAAAACAACCAAGCAACCAACGGAAGGGCACCTTGGACATGCCGGGAAGAACTGACTACCAAAGTCCACGCCGCGACCCGAGCTCCTCTTGGCACCATCATCGTTGCCAAAACCAAAACCGGCGCCCCGCCTTGGCAAACCACGCGGCGAAGATGCCGCCATCCACAAGTCTCCCAGTTGTAGCCGGCTCCGAGACGATGCCCCCAAGGAGGAGAAAGACGGGAAGACGCCTCCATCGCCCGATCCAGCTGATCTGAGGTTTCCCTCCGGAGCCCAAGCCGTGGAGAGGAGGAGCACACCTCTAAGACAACGCTTCCAAGAAAGGTTACGGCACCCGCGGGCGCCGTCATCGCCGGTTCAGATGAAGACCGGAACAAGGATTTCTCCTGGAGTTGTGTCAACCACCTACCGCCACCAACCGCCTCCCACCAACCACCACCCCAGCCGAGGTCGACCTCACTCTGGCCGCAGGATCCCACGATCCACTGTGCCCAGACATGCACCGCCCCCTGGCCGAAGCCGCCAACCACCCCCGCAACACCGTCGCGACCACCACCACCACAGCAACCACCGCAGCATCGCAGGAACAGCAACCAGAGCGGAGCACAGTGCGCCAGATCCAGCTCGAGCCACTCGAGCTAAGCAGCTGAGCAGGAGCAGGCCCTCCACCCGCAGCACACCTCGCACCCCGGGGCCAGAGCATGATTAACGGCCAGGAGGATCGTTCCTGCCTGGCTCAGGCCTGTGCAGGGTGGCCCAGTGGTTGTCTGACAGACTTAACATCTTTTTTATTTTTTGCCTACAGAATTTTCTTTCGGTAAACGATACTGTTAGTGGAAATTTTCTTTCATTTCATGAAACTAGTGGCAGTAAAAACAGGCAAATGGTTCTCCAGTTAGGCTTGGGTTGTCTGACAGACTTCAAAATTATATTTTCGATCAGTTCGTCCGAGGCAATTCTGAAAAAAAACACAATTCTACCTTACCAATTTAATTTACAGAGGCTAATACACAAAAAATTCTTGTCAAGTCGTGCGAGGCTGAAGCTGAATCCCAATAAGCACCTTGCACCCTTTGGATGTCCCTTGTTGGAATGCTCTGCTCTGCTCTGTTCTCTTCGCTGCTGCATCCAAAAAGCCCACTTCTTTAAAGGAAGGAACCAAGGACATCCCAGTGCGAGCCATCACTTACGTTGATATGATATTCTGCCAACACGCAACACAATTGTTGAATCAGCTGGTGCTTGAGGATTCTGGCGACATGCAGATTCGATTAATTAAGAGAGAGATTACAATCAATGTTTCAGTGCACAACACTCCTATTTGAGCATTACATTACTCCTATTTGTAGAATTCACTACTACTCCCTCCGTTCCGATTTACTCGTCGTGGTTTTAGTTCAATGAACTAAAACCACGACGAGTAAATCGGAACGGAGGGAGTATTTACAAACAGGGTGTCAAGTACGTACTGACCTTCTCTTCAGCATATCAAGACGACAGACAATTGCTTCACTTCTATTTGTTTCTTTTGTTTGCTCTGAATCAGCTTCTACGTCCAATCATTCATAGGTTGATAATCCTCATTGCTTCAGTCCTACAGGAAAAATTCAGTACCAGGCTAAATACTCCATTTTTCAAGAAAGAATCAAACAAATTGGAAAGCATTCTTTCTTGTAGAATTCAATTTCATTTCACGATAGGAAGGAGGTTACATCCATACCATTCGGCACCACCAAGACAAGCCCTCTCCGCGGAGTACATCAGAGAGCTGCTTTTATACATCAACCTGTCAAAGGAAAGGATTCAAGAAAGAGGAAATAAAGCCACTTGATTCATTCAATTCATTCATGGTAAGAAAAGAAACAAAATAGTTCTTATTTTTGAGTAACAGCAATTAAATACCTCCTCCTCGCAGCCACTGATGCCAGCAGTTAAATTGGCATGTTCATGTGAAAAAATAGCACAAGCCTGATAATTCCACCCTCAGTTCTGGTGTCAAAAATACTTTGCAGCTACGACTAAAGCCTTCTTCTTGATGGGTATGAAGTGAGTCCTTTTTTATTTCACATTCACATAGGGAATAGAAGCCTGACAAAGAAAATGCACGCATATTTTGAAAAACAACGGTGATGGCATCAACTATCAATCTCTAGTCTAATAGCAGAAAAAGTGAATGAAAACAAGCATGCCTTGGACTGTGAATCTAGTCATAAATTAAGCACACACATATTATAAACTAGAGAAAGCAAGCAGGAGAAAGATAAATAAGCAAACCAAAGTGGTTGCTTAATTTGCACTATGAATGCAGTCATAAATTAAGGATCAGAAACTTGGGTTCTGGAGGTACTAACAGATTTGAGTTGCAGAGAAATATCGATCATCTAGCAGAATGAAGAGTTAACAGCTAGCATTGCGTTGCAGAATGAAGAGTCAGTTGGTTGTATCTGCTTCCACTTGTGAAATACGTATCAATCTTGCAAATATGTCAGCTTCAATAGACGTATAAATCTGGGTTGGCTCTTTTGATTTTCTCAATTTGCTCCTTTATCTCAGCGCAGCGACAATTCATCTGGAGTTCTCTCAGCGAAACGGGGAGGCCCTCCTTGGGCATCGATCGGATTTCTTCACACCCAAAGACACGTAACTCCTTGAGAGAAGAGAGGCGATGTAACCCTTGAGGAAGGGACTGCAGACCGTCGCACCACCAAAAACCTAGGTTGTGGAGGGAGGCGAGGAGCTGCAGCGCTTTCTCTTGCTCTTCCGTCAAGCCTTCCATCCTCTCATTGTCTTTCTCGAATATAAGTGTGTGGAGGGCCGGGGCGAGGAGGTTGCAAATAGGAGCAACAAGCAATCCACAGATGTCATCCACCGTGAGTTTCTCTAGTCTAGAGATGTAACCTGCAGGCAATAATTTGGCCACCTTTGAGAGCATATCTGCTGCTAAGGTGTTGCACATACGCACTTCCAGTTCCATGAGGTTGACTGCGACGAGAGGATTGAATCCGTCCACTGTTAGATTACAACAGTGTTTTAGGCTTAGAGTGGTGAGAGACGTGAGGTTTGAGAGCAGAGCCATTGACTTCATGCTTGGCTCTTCACAAACATCAAGTTCCCTCAGGGAAGCAGGGAAAGGGCAAATGGTCTCCGATTCTCCCATTGGCCACCGACAGAACAATTCGCCACAGCTGACTATGGTTAATGATTGGAGCAATGACTTGTCCTCCTGAATTCCTCCTCCATTCTCCACAGGCACAAGAACTAGGCCCTTACACCTTGAGAAGGTAAGTTTCTGCAGTGAGGTGGATGATGGGAACTGCATTACACATTCCTCATAGCCAACTATCACCAACACAGAAAGAGCTGGGAAACAGTTTAACACTTTCGACGATGATGATTTGCTGCTGGTAAGATGAGATACGTCTAATTCGAGGCTCTTAACTGAATGGAAGACAATACTGCCATCCAGCTCTTCAGGGAACAAACCGTCGCATCTTCCGACACTTAGTTCTGTTAAGGATTTAAGCTTTTTGATGTCTGTCAATGAAATGTGCGATACATTTTCAATAGCCATATATTCTACTTTATCCAGATTGTGGTAGGCCAAAGCACCGCCATACCCTGTAACAACCAATCTGTTTCCATCATAAGACAACAATGTTTCTGAATAACGTCTTCCACCTCTTTCAACATTCAAATCTGTCAGTGTGGAGGTGTGAGGCATGGAGGGCAGAGAAATCTTGGGGCACCTGACAATTCGAAGTGTGCGCAAATTGGTGCAAGATACCTCCGACAAGGGCATCACACAGAGATTGGGACAACCGATGCATTCGATTGTTTCAAGACTTGGAAAGGAATGGCAATTAGGTTCCAGAACCCACTCAACAAGTTGTGGTATATCAAAAAACTCGATTGTCTTCAAGCGCATAGAACATTTCCCTGGAGCGCCACCACATCGCAGCCCAAACTGATTCATTCCAGAAATTTTCTTCAAATTGAGTACCTTGAGATTTGGTAGCTTCCCAAAAGGTGGGAGGGTGCTCCAACATACGCCTTCTATAGTGAGTCTCTCTAAACTAGTTAACCAGATGTCAAGACACAACCAGCTAGGACCAACGGTACCACCTTGATTTGCAATTGTAAGTACTCTAAGATTAGAGTGTGGTTGAAGAGCATCAAGAATATCAGCATCTGCAGTTGGAACATCTCTACCCGACACTAATTCCAGCTCTGTTTGGCTCAAGTAGCTTGCAAGAATATCAACATCTGTAGTTGGTCCATCCCTTCCCCAGAGTAATTCCAGCTCCTTCAGATTCCTTTTCAACATCAGTTTGGCTGCAGTAGCTTCCTCCTTGGTTGCCACTTATTCAAGACTACGTATAATCAGTCGCCCTTCAAGCTCTGCCAATGCCCCAAGTTCTGTTAGTTCAAATCCCATGCTCTCCTTTTTAACATGGAATTCTTTTAGCTTCTGCAGATGTTTCATCTTTCCCACATTGCGAATGTTGGAGTGGAGATGACTTCGAGCATGGAAATCATGTAAATTCTCAAGGTGGCTAAAGTCTTCAGGCAAATCAGAACGACCATTCCAATCATATAGGTCCAAGAATTTCAAGTGATAAAATCTTGGTAATGTGCTAGGTAACCTCATTTCCCTGTCACCATCGAGAGATGAACTAATTTTGAGGTATTGGAGGTGGATAAGTTTTGGAAACCTATCCGGAAAAGATTGTGCAGACTTCACCACTATAAACAGGACACGCAGACTATTTATTCCCTTGAAGTTATCTTTCAAAATCTTGGCGATTCTTTCTTCTTCATATTCTCTAAAAATCATCAAAGTCCGCAGATTAGCAATATCTATCCTCTCCCTTAGTTTACACATTTCTTTCTCAAAATTTGCATCATATATGTCTTCTACGTTGATAGATAAGTGCCGAACAGATTGCGAGATGGCATCAGCTCTGAAACCAAAGCCACTTATATTGTGGCATTCCTGTGCAGAAACACTCTTAGATAGCTCATGCATTAAATCATGCATTACGTAGCAGTATCCACCAACGCAATCATCTAATTCCTTCATGAGAAAACCATTGTCCACTAGTTCTTCCAAGTAATTCCTATCGGCTTGGTGATTAGAGTCTATGATGCCTGTTGCAACCAAGAAATGATTGATTTCTGAAGAAGTAAACCTATGATCTTCAGGGAAAAGGCCACAATAGGAAAAGCATTTCTTCAGATCAAATGGGAGGTAATCGTAGCTAATCTTTAAAGATTGCATGATATCTTCATTTTCTTGCTGCTTTAGCCACTGATGCTTTTCAAGAACTCCATTCCAATGTTCCTGAGAAAGGTGCTTGTGCAATAGTCTACCAACTGTTTTGGCTGCGAGTGGGGAACCCTTTAGCTTGTTTGCAATTTTTCCTGCAATACCAGCAAACTCATCTTCGTAATGCTCAGGCTTGTCGTCTTCACCAAATATACATGCTTCAAAGAATGTGAAGAAGTCATTAGACTCCAAACCTCGCAGCTCTAGTGGATCAACTGTTTTCACCATGTCTGCTACCTTTGGGAATCGAGTTGTGACAAGTACCATGCTTCCTTTGGCTTCCCCCTTTGTGAACGGAGCTAGCAGGGTCTTCCACTGATCCTCACCGTCACATCTCCATATATCATCCAAGACAATCAGAAACCTCTTGGACTTGATGCGCCGCGCAATGGATTTCTGAAGCTGGTCTAAATTGGTTGTTTCATTTGCAGCACTGCCCCTTCCTCCTTCTTCTTCAGTTGCAGTCATGCAGGCAAGGATCTCCCTGGTGAGCTTAAGCACATCGAAATCAGTCGATACACATACCCAGACTGGAACATCAAAGTGCTTTTTAGTCCTGCCATCATTATAAAGATGTTGGGCTAAAGTTGTCTTGCCAATCCCCCCTGGACCAACTATAGGAAGAACAGAAACAGTCTCAGTCTGTGCGGTACCGGTAAGAGTGGTGATACGATTGACAGTTTCCTCAAAAACGTCTCTCCTGCCATACAATGTGTCTTGTATAATCATGGAAGCAGTCTGAGGCCGATGTAGGACGACTGACAATGCGGTGTTGTTGCTTGGGATACTGCCGATGCCGAGCAAATTGGAGACCGAATCACAGTGGGACTGCATGCCCTGTAACAGGGACTTGACCTTGCTGGACATGGACACTCTGTCGAAATGCAGCATATCATCACCATCAGCACTAGCACTAGCAGTAGCAGAGTTGGTTTTGGATTTTTTGGTGACGCGGCCGACAACAGCAGCATCATCATCACTACCATCCCTCTTGGTCTTGGGTGTACGCGAGGAATAAAAGAACCGGACTAAGGTGTGGCGAAGAGCAGTACCGGCATGGAGAGCTTGATGCCTGAGGCCATCAACGCCGGCCTCTTGGGTTTGGGTGGTGGCGTAGTGGGTGCCGTGTAGCCTGTCATGGATCTGGAAGTAGTGGAGCTCATCCAGCAGGTCCGCTGCCTGGTCGGCGTCCCTGCTCAGCTTCTCCAGCAACCCCTGCAGGCCAGGGCTGTGGCAGACATGGCTCCCCTGGGCGTTGTGCAGGAGACCTTGCGCGTGCAGCAGCTTGTCCTTGATCTGGTCGGAGTTGTGGCCGAGCTGAAGGCTGTCCACGTAAACCGCCACCAGGCTGTCGGACAGCGTCCTCAACACCTTGCCGAGGAGCAAGGCCGCCGAGCCGAGAACCACCTCCATCTCTCTACAGACACTCCGCCGGCCGCCTCGCCTTGCCTTGCCGGAGTAGTGGTGGAGAGGAAGCAGCAGAAAGGCTCCAGCTAGCGATTTGTGTAGGGTAGGTCGTAGGTGGGCAAGACAGCTCCTTGAACAAAGAGTATATATATAGGTGGAACAAGTCAGACAATAGTAGATTTGTGTTAGCTAGCTCAACAAACTGCTAGCTGTGGGAGATTTGATCATGGCAGGCAGACAACTTGCTAGCTTTGTAAGTAGTACGTAGTATATATTGTACTGTATTTGGTTAGGTGTACAAGTGCTGCTATGTATCTATGTCTCATCTGGCCGGCGACGACCAAACCAAGATACCAACTCGATCATTTGTTTCTTTGGTTCTCTCGCCCATCGGACTTGGCTAATGCGTTTTGTCTTTCCAAATTCCAATATTATAAGTTAGACTAGTGGGTATGCGGTTCATGTCGTGAGCTGAAGCCAACCCAATCTGTGTAGCGACGAACACTAACAACGACCTAAGGCATCACTGAAGTTGCAGTCTCCATAGCTGAAATCAGCCCTGATCGACTGGTTTGATTGAGCTAAAAACCACATTGGGGCGGGAACGTGCAGCAGGCCTTGCGTGTGCAGTAGCTTGTCCTTATCTGCTCCGAGTTGTGGCCGAGCTGGAGGCTGTCTAGGCCGTCCGACAGCACCGTCAACACCTTGCCGAAGAGCGAGGTCGCAATTAAGAAGCAGAGAGTTGCTTGATCACATCCAACCAGGAGAGACAATAAATACTCTGTGTTAGCAAGTGGCAAAGATTTGATTAAGCCAACACAGATACGAAACCCGGTCAGATACCAACTCATTTGTTCTTTTGGTGCTCTAGGTGGGTCCAGGCTATTTTGGCATTTTAGAGCAACTTCAACGGGGCGACCCATTTTATCCGCTGCGTCCGTTTGGATCGGCGCGGACAAAAGTGGAGGCCCAACGCGGCGACCCAAACTCAAATCGCTTCCGCTTGGCATCCGCGCGGACCCATTTCCGTCCCAAAATTGTGCCAGGAGTGCGTTGGCGTGGACGCGAAGCGGACGTGCCGCGCGTCTCCTCGGCGTCCGCAGCGTCCCCACCTGTAGGCCACCCAACCGCCACCGGTCGTCTTATTTATAACGACCACCGACAGCGGGCCCACTTGCCAGCCTCAGGAAGCGTCCTTTCTTAAGAGCATCTCTAGTGGAACGTGTAAATTTGGACGTGTATATCTCCATATACACGTCCATATACACCTTGCTAAATTATACATCTCCCAGTTTTTCAGTGGAACGTGTAAATTAGGACGTGTATATTCCAACGGCTATATTTTCAAACGGCTATATTTTCAACGGCTATATTTCCAACGGCCATATTTCCGATCTATATAAACCACCCCTACCACCTCTCTTCCAGCACACTTCTACCTGTGACTTCTCTTCTCACCTAGATTTCTCTATCGTTTGTCACGCAACACAATGAACACATCCACTTGGGACATGAGTTCTTCGTCATCTTCATCTGGCGACGATGAACTCATACTTGCAGCATTCGCCGAGCGGGAGGAGGAAGAGAGGAAGAACGGTCGACGCCATGGCGGTTCCAAGCATGGACGTCAGTCAATCGATCGAGGAAGAGATGCCGGATTTCTTCTTCTGTGGGACGACTACTTCAAAGAAGTTCCTCGCTTTCCCGAACATTTGTTTCGACGAAGGTTCGTAATTAGTACACTTCTCTGCTTTGGTCCTTTTTTCATTTCCCTATCTCATTTAATTTTTATGCACAGATTTAGAATGTCGCGTACTTTGTTCAACCGCATAGCTGATGGTATACTTGAGCATGACTATGATAGAATTACAAGAAAGGCGCATACCTTTTCTTGTATAGTCCTTCCACTTTCTTCCCTATTTAAAATCTGCTGAAGGCAACCACAAAATTTAGAGGTCTCTCTATTAATCGTTGTGTAACGGCAATTGATTGCATTAGCATTACGCTCCGGCCATGATGATTCCTTGTGTGTGTTGTAGTACTCTGAAATTCTATCCCAATAAGCATCCCGGTTTTGATCTGTCCCAACAATATCCAAACTTGTATTTGCCCATGCTGCTATGAGAACCTTGTCCTCATCACTAGACCAATTTTTGCCTTTGTTGGATTTTCCTTTCTCTGTTATTGCAGAACGATGCTGCGTTGATGGAGTTGCCTGCTCTCCAATTGGACTTTCTAGTTGTGTTTGCGTGTAACCAAAACCAAGGGTGTCCAAGAAGCTTTGGTCAGTATCCATCTGCAAGCAACCAATGCACAACAATTTTAGACCACAATATGGCATCAAATTGACAATTTTAGACCACAGCTATGCATCTCCCCTGCATCTCCTCCATCTCCCCTGCATCGTCTCCCCTGCATCTCCTCCACGACAATGCATCTCCCCTGCATCTGCATCTCCTCCATCTCCCTGCATCTCCTCCACGGCTCTGCATCTCCCCTGCATCTGCATCTCCTCCATCTCCCTGCATCTCCTCCATCTCCCTGCATCTCCTCCCCGCCGCCCCTGCATCTCCCCC